GCCCTCACCACTACAAAGCCAAGTCGTCCAAGAATCCTTTCTTAGAAGTCAAGTTCCAGGGCTGGCGAGATGGCTCAGCAGTTAAGAGCACTGGCTGCCTTGTAGAGAACCCAGGTTTGGTTCCCAGCACCCATACAGCAGCTCACAACTGTCTATAATTCAAGTTCCAGGGGATCCAACGCCCTCTCTGGCCTCTGTGGGTATTACACATCGTGGGTACACTTATGTACGTGCAGACAAAGCACTCATGAGCATAAAGTAAAAATAAACTTAAAAACATTAAAAAAAAAAAAGTCAGCTTTCTTCAATTCTGCCCCAAGACCTGCTGAGATAGTACCACTCCCCAGCCAAGGATGGGGCCCTTCTACCTCTGATGGACAAACCTTCCTGCTACCCACATGCTGAATCCATACACTTTAGGATTTTACAGTAGAGTGTCCTCACTCAGACTAGCACTTGCTAGCTGTTGGCCTTGAGAAAGTCATTCAACCTCTCTGTGCCTCAGAATTCTCAATTAAATGGAATAATAATAGTATCTACCTCATAGGGCTAAAGAAATTAGTATATCTACGGTGCTTAGAACAGAGCCTGGTACAGTGACTATTACTGTTATCTCATTCCTGTCTTTCTCCTCTCCTCTCCTCCTGCAACTGTATTTACTATTTCTCTTCAAGCCACCAGACAGCAGAAGAGTCAAGCCACCGAAACCTCTGTCCTCTACTTGGCTTCTCCTTGTTTCCCTTTACTGGCAAATGTGTTGAAAGAAGGGAAGTGTGACTGCATTACTTCAACTCTCATTAATGCCTCAACCCACTGCCGTGCTTTATAGGTCCCACTCTGCTCTACCCAGCCACTCACAGAAGTTGTTGTCAATAAAATCACTAATGACTAAGCGCCAGATGTCTAAGTGTCATCCCATGTCAGCAGCCTGAACACTCAAAGCTGTGGTTCTCTCCCTCCTTGCTGCGTGGACTTATATTATTGTCTGCTCAGAGACACAGTAAGGTATTACTCCTAGTTAGGATGGTAGTTTTGTTTTGAGACAGGGTCTTGCTCTGTAATCCAGGTTGGCCTTGAACACCCCAGCTTCCTGCCTGTCTCCTGAGTGCTGGAAATGCAGGTATGTACCACCATGCCTAGCTTACAACTTGTCACTTCTTGACAAGCTTTAAAAAAAAAAGTAACTTTGGGGACTGGAGAGATGGCTTAGCCGTTGAAAGTACTGGCTGCTCTTGCAGAGGACTTGGATTTTGCTCACAGCACCCACGTGGTGGCTAACAACTGTCTGTAACTCTAGTTCCACGGGATCCAACATCCTCTTCTGAGCCCATGAGCATTGCACATGAGTGCACTTACATGCATGCAGGCAATATACTCATATACATAAAATAAGAATAATAAAAATATTTTAAGCCGGGTGTGGTGGCGCACGTCTTTGATCCCAGCACTCAGGAGGCAAAGGTGGGCAGATCTTTGTGAGTTCGAGGCCAGCTGGGGCTACAGGGAGACCCTGTCTCAAAAAGACCAAAAAAAAAAAGAATAAAAATATTTTTAAAATAGTACTAGACAGGGCATTGTTAACACAGGTGCCCATCCCAGGTGTTTGACCTGACAGACTTGCCTGTGTACTTGGGTTCATGGACAAGCTTTCCATAGCTTGCAGTGGGGAAGCACTTTTGAAAATACTCTGTTCTTGCAGACCCTCTGGGTATTTTATGTTCTCCTTTTCTCTTCATAAACGATGGCTTTATTCCAGCTTTTCTAATTGCCTTTCCTAATGGTCTCTTTCCTTTGCTATAACCCTCATCTTCCTACTTAAAGCTTTTTCTTCTGAGAATTTTTCTGGATCTTTCCTTGTGCATGTTCCTTACCTGCAGGGACTTTTAAAGGTTTCATCTTCGTCGTCTTCATACACTCACTATATGACATATCCATTCCCATCACCTCTGTACCCACTGGTAAGTGCAAGACTAAGATTCCCTTCCTGCTCTCAGCAATGTGAGGCTGAGGGCTTTGTGCCCAACCTATAATGGCCATGAGTGGTTGGAACTGACGCTCATGAGGAGATGCCTCCTGGCGGTGATGCTATGAGGTGATGCCTGTGGTAAGGCTATGCCACATCCAAGAAGCTGCTGTCCATGACAGCCATGAGGAAAGCAACGCTGGCATGTGGTTGGTGGGATTAGTGGGCATCATGAAGAGATTGACTCTGCAGGCAATAGCTCCAGAGCCCAGGTTATACGAAGGAAGTAGCAAGCTGATGATCAGGAGAAAATCAATGATGTTCAGGCTGACCAGGAACTCCACTGGACATCCAGGGTAGCATGTGGAAGCAAAAGGTGGAGAGGGCCAAGCTGCTCCTGCTCAGGCTAATGATGAGCTCCACGCCCAGGATTGTGCCAGGAAGGCAAATACCTGGGAGACAGGTGAGAAGGCAGGAATGCCAGGCCTCTCTTGAGGACCTCAGGACAGTGGGAAACACCAAGGGAGAGAGGGAAGGAGGGAGGGGGAAAAAAAAACCAAAGAGAGCTCACATTGTGAAATCCCATTGGCGGCTTGAATCCCAGTACTGAGAGGAGGCTGGAATTTTCCTGCTCCATCAGTGTTCAGGGAAAACTGGGATGAATGTACCCTCTGCTGGCCACCACTGTGCCTCAGCATCTTGGGATTTTGTCATTGAGCAATGTCAGGCAAAGAGGTCACTGTTGCCTGCCCTCCAGTGGGCATTGAGTGACTTTCACTTATGGCCTCTGAGTGAGTCTGGCTGCCAAGTCATACCCCTGCCAGAGGGGAAGCAGAGCAGATGGAGGCTCACAGAAGCCCTGAAGTTGGAGGAAAGTCAAGTCAGGTGAGGTGAGGAACATGAGGGGTCAAATGGCTGTAGGAAGACAGAAGTGGGTCATTGTAACAGGACTGACAGGACCAGACAGCCTTCTCATATATATATAGGTTGAGGGACTAGATCCCTCTCCCAGCCGGCTTTGGCTCTAGGTATTGTGGAGGCAATACAAGATGGTCCCAAGTGAAAGAGAGAGTGAATCAAGACCTCTACCCTCCTACTCATCTCAAGGAACTGGGTCAATTTATACTTTGCCAGTGTGCCCTATGTCCACAGTTTGCCCTGTGTCCACAGTCTACTGCAGTTTAAGCTTCAGTTACTTTCAGATTCCTGCTGTTTTTATTTATTTATTTATTTATTTATTTATTTTATTTATTTATTTTATTTATTGCTGGGAATGGTTATTTATTTATTTATTTGTACGAGTGTTTTGCATACATGTATGTAAGTGCACCCAGGTTGTACAAAGACCTCAGAGGCCAGAAAAGGGTGTTGGATCTCTTGGAACTGGAGTTACAGATGGTTGTTAGCCACCATGTGGGTGCTGGGAATGGAACCTGGATCCTCTGGAAGAGCAGCCAGTGCTCTTAACTGCTGAGCCATCTCTCTAGGCCCCAGATTCCTGCTGTTTCTGAAGTCTGTGATGGCTCAAGCCCATGTACATGATGAAGTATGTTCCAGAGGCAGAGGGTTCTTCCACCAAGTTCCTATTGTCATGACATAAGGTGGGAGGTTAGTGTACCCCCACCCCCCGCCACATTCCTCAGCTTTCAGTGCAAAATGTGGGGTAGGAAGCCCAAGTTGAGTCTGGCCAAGGTGTAAGCCCTGTTTCCTGTGAGGCCTGACCTGTGAACCCATGGGCTAATCCTGTGGGTAAGGGCATTGGGCTTCTGGTTACCTGGGACACAGGAGGCTGTGTTCTAAGGCTCTAGGGCATAACATCCCTACTCTTGCCAACTAACTAAGGTCAGCAGCCTGTCATATGCTGCCAGCTATGCCCAGACCTCTGGGTTACTGATTGGTCTCCCATGGGTCCCTCAAAGCTTGCCCTGCCCACTCCTGGCCAAGTCTAAAGTGGATGGACTGTGGCCACAGAAGAAGAGGATGAGACCCAGCCAGAGCTCCAAATGCAGACAGGCCTGTATGGAAACAGCTCCCAGTTTCCAAGCCTCTCAGAGCCTCATCTGTGAAACCAGCTACTGTCACCTTTATTAGGAGTGAATGAGAAGGCCTATTGTGCTTTTTCCTGTTAATGGGACTGCCTCACTACTAGGGAGAAACTCCTCTTCTCCTGTGTTCTGATTGGGGAGCCTTTCCTTTTAGATCCTTTCTAGAATACTCCATATTCTCTTCCCAGCCCTGGCACAGAGCATCACATTGCTGCAGCAGAGCATGTGCCTGGCTGTCCTGGACCATGGGTATCTGGAGATGGTGGTGGTCCTTCTTCACTTACAGGAAGGGCTTTAGGGTAGGGAGGCAAGTGCTGGTGCCCACATCCCTCAGGGCCAGGAGCCCCCTCAGCAAAGTCAGGTCCCCTTTGCCTCCAGTGGACTATATCAGAGCAGTGAGCCACCAAGCTGGTGGGGAAACAAGGTTCAGTTCCCTTTCCGAGAGGAAGCTCTGGCTTTAAGAATAGGCCTGTTCTGTACAGACTGCCCACTTTTCTTTGTAGTTCCTCACTGAGCCCAGGCCACCCCCCGTCCCCCATGGGCTGTGGTTGCCTCTCCACAGATATCCCACCGCCTTTCCTCACCCTTCAGAAGCTGTGATCAGTGGTTAACTCCAGGGATTAACTCTGTATTTTGTGTATTTATGTTTTTATGTATTTACATTTTCATTTATGTCTACAGTTAACATAAATGATTTCTGTCACTGAGAAAGAAACTCAAAAGAAGCTTCTTTTTTTTTTTTTTTAAAGGTATGTTTCACAAATGAGTGAGTGACTGGGAAACAGAGAAAGAGACTGAGAAACCTTCAGCTATTACTACCAGGGCTGGACCCAGGGCATGGGTCAGGGTTACACACACAGTGAGAAATACCCATCCACAGTCTGCAATGCTCAGTAACAGGCCCTCCAACTGTCCATGGTCACCTGGTGCCCCTAAAACCCAGATGCAACACATTGCAACAGAATACAGGGTCTGTCACCACAACTCACAGGGACTTGTTTATCAGGATGCCTTTACTGAGAGCCTTCTTGATGGCAGGCAAGTGGGCCTATGGGGACAGGAGGGTGATGGGCACACCACCTGGCCAAACAATGTAAGGGTATGGCTTTTAGAAGAGAGGGGAGCTACTGGTGCCCTTAGAAACCTGGCGTCCTGGCCTGAGGATGATGGGAGGGTGAATAACAGTGATGACCCAGGACTAGGCAAGAGGCATGCTGAGGTGTGTGGTGCTATCCATGGAATGTAGTGATGACTGAGAGACTGCATTAGCAAGGGCAGCTCCCAGGATGGCACCCAGACACCCTGTGGTACCTGTGGGTACCTGGAGCCCACAGCAAGAGGGTCACCACAGGGGCTTTTTATGAGCAGGGTCCTGGGTCACAGACAGGGCCACAGAGTCTTGTGCTTGCTCCCACACGTACCTGTTAAGACACAGACAGGAAGGGATCAGGCAAGGCTAGACCCCAAGGATGCCAAAGAAAAGGAAGTCCCACAGTTGTGGAAAGTCCCTGCGTGTACTTACGAAGTCCCAGCTGGTACCAGCAGGCTGTCATCTGGGGCCAGGGTCTCGCACTGTCCTCCCATTGTCACCACAGAGGAGCCTTCCTGTATAAGAAAATCAGAATCAAACGGAGGCTGATGAGACCGAGTTCAAGGCCAGCCTGAGTAACTTAGGGAGACTGTCTCAAAATTAAAAAACACACACACACAAAAAAAAAAACAGCAGGGGAGAGGGCTGGGGTTGTAGTTCAGTGGCAGATCTCTTGCCTTATAGGAGGCCCTAACACAGAAAAACCAAAACAACAAAAAAGGCAAAGGGGGTGGGGGGAGAGGGAGGTTGTCAGTCCTCAACACCTGGTTTAATGTCCCAGAGTCTGCCTTGCTAGGAGACCTTAAGAGTAGGTCTCGCTGTGGGAGCCTGAGGCCCAGGAACAGCCCAATCCCTGTGGATAGGAAGTTGAGCCACCCTGTCCTAGGACCCCACTTGCCAGTTGCCATAGCCACACATCCACATCCTGTGCCAGGCCTTTACTGCTGCCTTGTCCATGGGCGATGACCTGGCAGGAGGTAAAGAAGATTTTATGGAGCTCCTGTCCCACTTGGGAGATAGTCTTGACTTTGGCCCTCAGCCATGACTTTCAAAGGGCAAGATTGGGTTAGTACTGCAGCCCCATCCCAATGAGATAAGCAAAGACCAGGACTTGGAAAGGAAGACCTCCCTGCCACTCACTTGGCAGCAGATGCTGTTTGTTATTTGTAATCATGTACATGGGTCCTACATGTATACACACACCTATGGTCCCTCCCTGTGTGTACCACCACTCACATGCCCATCCCAGCTCCCCAGATTTTATTCCTTTCCTGTGTGAGGTATTCAGAGTCTGGCTTGAAAAGGATGAGAGAGAGGCTGAGGCCTCTCAGACCTATAGCTGCTGTGGGGCCATGCCCTTACTGGCTCCAAATAGGACTCAATAGGTATTTGCTGTGGAAAACTGGAGCAGGCAGACATGGGGCTGGGAAGAGGCCGATGACTGTGATGAATGCAAGAGGCTTCAGGTTTTGTGCCCCACTCACAGCCCTTCATAAGCTCTGAGTGTCCCTGGTACTGAAAAAGCAGCCCAGGGCTGTACCTGTGGGCTTCTCACCCTGGAGTGACTATTTCTTTCTTTTATTTTCTTCTTCCTTTTTTTAACTTTTTATTTTTGAGACAGGGTCTCACTGGATAGCCCTGGATAGCCTTCAACTCTCTATGGAGACCTGGCTGGCCTTGAACTCATGACTATCCACCTGTCTCTGTCTTCTGGGCTCTGGGATTAAAGGCACGTACCACTACTCCCAGCATCATCATCATTATCATCATCATCATCACCATATTAGTAGTAGTAGTAGTAGTAGTAGCATATAGTGCAGCTCAGCAGACCCACCAGAAGCAGTTCCCAATCCAACTTGACCTTTGTTTTATTTGGGGCTTTTGTTGGGTTTTTTGAGACAGGGTCTCCCTGTCCCCTGGCTGGCCTGGATCTCACTATGTAAACCAGGTAGGCCTTGATCTCATAGAGACCTTGCCTCTGGCCCCCTGAGTGCTGGGATCAAAGATGTGTGCCACCATACCCAGCCCCACTCTAGCTCTGGCCAATCTCAGAAGCTTACATGCCAGACGGCTGCCTCTATGCCTCCATGTCTTCATGCTTCTCCCTCTCCTAGAATGTTCTATCTACCTCCATCTCTTCCTTCTATAACCCCTGTACTGGTTTGAAAATTCTATTTGCGTATCCCCTCCTCCAGGAGCCTTTTTGACTTCCCTCTCAGCCAAGGTTCTTCCTTTATCTTCTTAAGACATCACATGACTGTGGCAGTTAGGGGTTAACTTGCTCACAGCAACCATCTTGTTCTTAATAGAGCCCAAAGGAAGCTGGAATATTGGCTGAAAGGCCAGCCTGCCCCACACACTGCCCCCCAGCCTTGCCCTAAACACCTCTTTCTTTTCCAGCTTCTAGGCTCCTGCCTGCCCAAAGCCCAGGATTTCCTAGTAGGAGTAAGCCTCAAGCACCCAGGAAGCTGACAGTGGGTGGGGAAACCTCCCACTCTGAAAGCAAAGTGTCCTTGGGACCATGAAGCCTCCAGAAACCTCTAGTCACAACAAGACAGTCATTCTCTGAGATGGGGAGTGAACAGGAAGGCCATGTTTATGTCTAAAACGGGGAGGGAGGGAGAGAGAAAGGGGAAGAGGGAGGGAGAGGGAGAGGGAGAGGGAGAGAAGAGAGAGAGAGAGAGAGAGAGAGAGAGAGAGAGAGAGAGAGAGAGAGAGAGAGAGAGAGAGAGAGAGAGACTGTGTGAGATTAATTTCCACTTCCCAGGTTGCTGGGTGGATGCTGATGGCCCAGAGCTGTATTACCTGGGTTTCATAGGTGTCCCCAAACAGGCTGATGGATGTGCCTGACTGAAGCTCCCCATGGTGGCCATCCAGCCAGACCTTCAGGGACATGGGGTCCATGACAGATCGTGTACTCAGAGGGAACGGTGGCTCCTTGAGCAGCTGGTCTGTACCAACAGCATAGAGATAGTCAGTGACCTCTGGGCTCAGCTCACACAGCCTCAGTGTGTCCAGGTCCCCCTTAGTCTCAATAGTGGAAATGGGACCTGGGTTCAGCCTAATGACTGAGCAACCATGTGGGGGTGTTATTTGGTGCTGTCTTCTCAGTACCCTGAGTACTGGACAGAGGCTCAAGAGTCTCCTGGGACCCTGAGTTCCCTACTATGGGAAGGGAAAGAAGGAGAAAGGGAAAGGTTACTGCCAATGGTCTCACCTGGGTTGGGTTTACCGGTTCGGTACTGCTCAGAGTGGAAGAACCTGCAGGGACAAGCAAAGAGGAGGAGAGTGGCAGCCATTTCTATTAAGAGACCAGTGAGACATACATCATACACAGTGAGACATACATCATACACAGGAGCCCACTCAACATCTGTGGGGCCCTCACACAACTTGATTACCCATCATCCTCCCCCTCCTAGCCCTGTGGAATAGTCTTGTTCTATTCCCAAGGGAGATTCTCTCTTTCTAACTCGTAAACCTTGGGTCCAGGTCAATGGGTGCTGATGTAGAGCTGAAGGGCAGTAAGGTGAGGGACCAAGCTGGGGGCTCACTCTTGAATGATGGGGGCCAACTGCGTGCCAAGGTCCTTGCAGTAGAACCACTTCTCAAACAGGACATCCACAGTGTCCCCCACATAGTACCTGCCAAAACAGAGGTCAGAGTAACCCACTCCACGTCTGGGCAGCTTCAGGAAAGCCCAGCTCTGGCCTGGCTCTGCTTGCAGGCCTCTTCCTGGACCCTGCATATTTGCTCTGCCTGTGTTACCCCTGTTGGCACAGCCCAGGCTTTCATGCTTGTACTCATACCTACACCTGGTTCTTGCACAAGCATGCAAAAATCAGGTGGAACTCAGGGACTTGAAGCAGGACAATCAGTGGTGATGACAAGCCTGTATGAGACAGAGCAGGCTAGACTAAAAACAAGCTCAGAACACATTTAATTCCAGCGTGTTTGTTTTCCACAAAAGGAAGTTGAAGCTGAGCCTGAATCTGCGACAGGCAGCTAAATGAACCTGTGGTACCTGGGTTCAGCTACAAGGAAACTTCAGCAGCAGATGCATAGGCTGGCCCCACATGACGGCTTCTTCTCCTGCCAAGATCACCTCTGCTGCTGGAAGCTATACAGCTTTGGTCTTCTCTGGTGAAGGCCCATGGCTACGCATACAGCCTTCAATAACTCTTTTTAATTTCTAATCTTTTTTCTTTTTGGTCTTTTTTTGAGACAGGGTCTCCCAGTAGCCCCAGCTGGCCTGGAATTCACTATGTAGACCAGGCTGGCCTTGAACTCACAGAGATCTGCCCGCCTCTTCTCCAGAATGCTGGGATTAAAGGTGTGCACCACCCGGCCCTTCAGTAACTCTTACAGCCACTCATGTCCTGCTGGCCTGGGGATGCCTGGTGGGTGGGACTGTGCTGTGTCACCTGCCTCTGTGTGTGTGTGTGTGTGTGTGTGTGTGTGTGTGTGTGTGTGTGTAGCACATGGCCATTGCTGGGAGCAACTGTCACCAGAATGCCTAATCCCTGAACCAGCTTCAGGCCAGTGCAGCTCTGTCTGCTTTTCAACTCCCACCAAAAAACAGGAGCAGTGCCCAGGCGCGGTGGTGGACATCTTTATTCTAGCACTGAGACGGCAGAAACAGGCAGATCTCTGGGAATTGCCAGCCTGGTCTACACAGAGAGTTCCAAGTCAGCTGAGGCAACAGGGAGACCTTGTCTCAAAAAACAAAACAGAACAACAACAAAAAAAAACAAAACAAAGAGGAGCATTCTTGGAGAGGGAGACAGTTGCAGGAACACTATGCTTCAACCCTGGGATGGAGCTGGTTACTGGCAAGTTTCATGATGGGGCTGTAGTGTCCTCTGGAGTTGCCTTCAGAGTGGCATTTTAATGTTGAGTCCCTGGCTTTTATTAAAGGTCAAAAGCAGCCAGATGAAATCCATTATTGAATTTGCTGTAAAAATGTTATTGAGGACACCAATAACTCACTAGAGTCTCCTCTATAAAAGCACCTTAGAGAGGCTCCTTTTAAGGCCAGGTATCTACTTGTACACAAGCTATTCTGTGGTAAACTGTGCTGTGGCCAATAGAAGTATATTTTTTGAGAAAATATAACAATATGAGAAATGAACTTTTTCAATAGATGCATAGTTTCAGTTATGCAAACTGAGGAAATTCTACAAGTCTGCTGCACATTTTTTATTACATTTATTTATTTTGGGGGTAGGGTACATGCATACCATAGCATGTGTTGTGGCAGTCAGAGGACAGCTCGCAGAAGTTGGTTCTTTCCTTCCACCATGTGGATCCTGGGAACTGAACTCAGGTCATCAGGCTTGATTGCAAGCACCTTTACCCGTTGAGTCATTTCACTGGCCCCAACATCAATTTTTTTTAACTGAACAAAGCAAAACTCAAACCCATGCATGTAACAAAACTGTAGGGTTGTGAAGTGAACAAGAAAAAGTCACTCCTTTGTGTCTAACTTGGGGAATGGCAAAGGGTTTTTGTTTCTATTTTTAATTAATTAATTAAATTTTATGTATATGAATGTATTGCCTGCATGTATGTAAGTGTACCATGTCATGCAATGCCTACAAAGGTCAGAAGAGAGAGTCAAATCCCCCTGGAACTGGGGTTATGGACAGTTGTTAGCTGCCATGTGGGTGCTACAAATCGAACCCTGGTCCTCTGCAAGAGCAGCCAGCGCTCTTAACCAATGAGTCATCTTCCCAGCCCTGTTTCTACTTTTTAATTACTTGGTTTTTTTTGAGAAGGACAAGATGAACAGAATAAAATTCTCCTTTTTTTTTTTTCTTTTTGAGACAGGGTCTCCCTGTAGCCCCAGATGTCCTGGAACTCACTATGTAGACCAGGCTGGCCTCAAACTCACAAAGATCTGCCAGCATTGTTCATTTTGGACTCTACGTTTCTAGTTTTTGAGAAGGAATGTATATGACTTTAGCAATTTGAAAACAACAAAAAAGGAACATTTAAGGATTCCCATTATAATAGATGTGGGTCAAAGAATTCTAATTCCAGTTACTTGGTGAGAAATTTGTTTTCTTAAAAAATTCACGACACAGTTTCAGGAAAATCTTTGGTCCCCTGAGCTTCAGGGACTTCCTTCTTTCTGAGGATAACAGTCCAGTGACTGATTAGCCCCAAAGGAAAGTGAGATGGAATCTGTCTTTTCCAGGGGGGTGGAGGGGATGGGGGGTGGGGGAGGTAGTGGTTGGGAAGGGACAGGAGTGTGGCTGGGTTCTTTCATACCCTGCTGGTCCACCATGCTGACTCTGCTGTCCTGGCTTTATATTTCTCTATAATGTTGGGCCTAGCAAGTTGCCTTCCCTGGACCCAGTTTCATCTTTAGTAAATAATAGATAGTTGAACTGGGACGTAGCCCAGTGGTAGAGTAGTGCTCCAGCATGTGTTAAGCCCTAAGTTCCGTCCTCAGCACAGCAAAAAAGAATAGATAATAACAGAATCTAGCTCCTGGTGTCATGGGGAACATATGGTAAATAAACACCTAGAACCCCTTAGCTGGTGCCACCACAAAGCCGTTGCTGGCCAGATGACCATGCTTGTTGTAAGGTAGCGTAGAGACATAGGTGGAGAGGTTCTGGCTTGGACTAAACTGCAGGCCCAGGCTCCTAGAAGCTGTAGTATTTGCCTGCACTGGGACATGTAGTCCTTGGGGCTCCCCTCCCTGCCCCCATCTGCTTCCCTCCTAGCAGAAAACACAGATGTGAATTCTACCCAGAGTCCTCAGGGGTGCCACAGAGAGCACCCTCCTACCTGGTTGGTAAGCAAATACAGAATCTCCATTCCCTCCTGTCACCAAGCCCTCTAGTCTCTCAGTGGCCAGGAAGTGCTTTCTTGAGTTTGTCAAGGGTTCGTTCTACCGCAGTTTTGTTCTGCACCCCTTAGCTGCTAGCCCTCTGATCACCCCAGTCCCCCAGACAGGAGCATTTACCGAAGCCCATCTAGCTCGGTTTCCAGCCGCTTCCGCTCGATCACCAGCCCCATGGTGTTGGCAAACCTCTGTGGGGAGTGGGGCACCCTGGCAGGCAGGAGGAATATCTGCAGGGATGCAGAACAGGGGCCCAATGAGGCTGTGATCCCTCCAGGAGACCGCAGTGCCCCTGGCATATCAGGTGACCCATAGGGCAGCAGGGGGCCTTGCCTGTCCACCTGGACCCTACTTTCTGCCCAGCCTCTACCCAGGGAACTGGAAGGAATATGGGCCTATGCTCAGGAAGGGAAAGCCCACAAGATGCGCAGGGCAAGTCAAGCAGGTGGAAGGGTAGAAAAGGGCAAGAAGGGTATGGTAAATGCCCAGGGTGGGCTTCTGCTCCAATGACCTTTGCCTTTTTGTTCCCTGGGGTCCAGCCTCACCTCTCCTTGCCGAATGACCACATCCCGGTGTTTGCCTTGTTCCAGGACTCGGAGAACCATGTCTCCTTCCAGCTGGTAAAACACCTGTGGGACAGCAAAAAGTGTGGGGTCTCTCTGCTCCCTTACCTAGGTCATTGACTCCAGCCCAGGACCTGAATTCTGATTTGGAAATTCAAGAAGCTTCTGGAAGGCCTCAAGGTTTATGAGCACCTCCAGCACTCCTACCCCGAGGCCACTGTATCTCTTGGCCCAGACCACAGACAGGAGGGCTGGAGGTATACAGAGGTCATGTCTGGAACATGTAGGTACCATCAAAGTACCCAAGATGCACTGGCAGGTACCTAACTAGGGAGGAGGAGGCTGGGTCAGACACTCACTGGAGGAGCCAGTGGCACAGCAGCCAGGGAGGGGACACACTCCTTTAACATGGGCTGGGCATGTTCATATATGTCAGAAACTTCACAACCCCAAGGGTAACATCAGTTCCATTCTGAAGAAAAGAAAGCTGAGGCTCAGAAGGTGCAGCAACTGGTTCAAGGTCACAAAGATGGTGGATCCTGGTGTCCCAGTTGGGGCTGCAGCCTGAGTGTAGCTCTGGGACCTCTTGGGTTCCTCTGGCCAGTAAGATGCCCCAGTACTAAGTTATGGAGATTAGTGGCATAGGAGAAGATGGGGACTGGGCTATCTCCAGAGGGCTCCTACCAAGTTTTCTATTTTATCCTAAGCTCCCAGTTAGCACCCTATGAACTGGATATGATGACTCATGCTTAAAATCTCATTACTCAGGAAACTGAGGCAGAAGGATTGCCTTGAGTTTGAGGCCAGCCTGGGCTACAAGTGAGACCCTGTGTCAAAAATCAAAGCAGACAGAAAAAACAATTCCCAGGTAACACTGTTCATGATTATGAATGAGATAAAGATTTTTCTTTCTATATTCCTCCTGTTTTCTACAATGAACTGTATTTACTTTCATTATTGAAAACAACCTACAGGACTGAAGGTGTAGCTCAGTGGTAGAATGCTTATCTACATTGTGAGGATCTGGATTTAATCCTCAGCAACACACACACACAGACATAAACACAAACACACAAACTCCAAACAAACGAACAAACAAACAATGCTACTTAACACAAGTCAGAAAACCCTGCTGTAAGAAGACACTGGAATTTTCTTATCTTGTCCTTTGCACAGAAGACTTCCTTGTGATGAGGGGCAGGCCTGGCCAGGAGCAGAGGACACATCACTAACAGCATAAAATCCCCAACAGCCGTGGGCAATCCAAAAGGAATTATGTGCTTTTGAAAGTAGGTGATGTTTTGGGTCTGGGGCTAGCTGGAAGATTAAGTGTTCCACCTCAGGTAGATACTAAATCGAATCTTCTGTGACCTAGAATGGCTTCACAAGCAGGAGAACCAGAAAGAGGTGAGGCGCCACACCTGTTAAGCACCTATTCTGTACACATTGAATCTTTCCATAGGCAGAGTTATAGTCCCATAATGCTACAAGAGGGTACAGGATGTGACCTCTCCAGTCACATGGCTATTCAGAGGGACATCTCCTTCCCAGCCAAGTCTCCTCGCTCTTGACTGTCACCAGGGACAGAATAGGGTAAGTAGAGTCTGAATAGTGGGTGGGTCCAGGGCACCAGACGTTGCAGAAGCCAGAGATCAGCCAGAAGAGAAACCCAGCTCAGCCAGGATACGTGATTGGAACATCAGTCAGAGTGAATGCTCAGGCTCTAGATGAGGACAGGTAGGGACAGAGACGATACTGTGGTGCTTTGAACTTGGGTATTGTAACAGTTGGTGGTGCTGTTGTGGGGGTTATGCAATCTGTATGGCAGGAGTTTTGCTAGAGGAAGTACATCACTGGGGTGGGGCTTGGGAGGTTATAACCTCATTCAACTTCCAGCTCACTCTCTCTGCTTCCTGTGTGTGGATGGAAATGTAACCAGCCAGCTTTGTGCTCCCGCCAGCTGCTGCCATGCCTTCTCCACCATTATGACTCTAACCCTCTGGAATTGTAAATGAAAATAAACTTTCTTCCATAAGTTGCCTTTGGTCATAGTATTTTATCACAGCAATAGAAAGGTAACTAATACACTGACCCTCTGCTCTGAGGCTTCCCAGGGCCTATGGAAGGTACTGCATCCTGCTCTCTTACCAAAGGGTAAGTCCAAATGTCACAAATCCACCTCCAGCCAGACTCCTCCCAGACTATCCCTCCACAGTGAGGCCAACCCAGCTCATCTCTCAGCCAACAGCTGAACCAAGACATGGGCTAGCCTTGCCTTATGGACAACTATTCACCTGAGCAGCATGGAGAGCCCCCAAGACAAGCATGGGCAGAGGAGAAAGAGGGAGACAGATAGGAGACAGGGGGAGGTAGACACACTGACAGCAAGCCTAACTGGTGAATGGAGATGAGGCTGACCTGGGCAGGCAGGAAAGGTCAGTGGAGACTAACCCATCAGCTCTGATCTGTCTCCCATCTATAGTTTTGAAATCTCTTGCTATTTTTCTTCCACACAGGAAAACAGTCTTCAGGGAGGTGTGTTCAGTGGCCAGAGGTCAAGGCCCATGAAACTGGAGGTGCTCAGTTTAGGCCACTCCTGTTCAGTTGTCACCCTCTGCTTGCAGTCCTGAACGTCTAGCACACATACACTGGGCATTCAGTATTTGCTGACATAGCAATTCTTAAAGGTTCACTGCAGTCCTAGTCTGGTGTGGGGGTACCAGTGGTGTGGATGGAGACTCAATCCCAGAATCAGGCCTCCCAGGAGAGAATGGGGAATCTATACTAATCCTTTCCTACCACAAATTGATATTGGGGGACCTGTGTGTCTTGGGAGGTGTTCCTCTTTTTTGTTTTTTTGCCAAGGTCTCATTATGTAATCCAGGATGGCCTTGAACGCTTGATTCCCCTACCTCCATGCACCATCACACCCAGCTTTACCCCTCTCTTTTACTTTCGCTTGTCTTTATAGACCTTTGGTTAGGAAGTAGAGAAGCGTAGTGTTCTGTACAGAGGCCCAGGCCCCCAGTCACATAGGCTCTAATAGCTAAGGGGCTTGTTTCCTCTAGCAGTAAGAGGGGACCCACCCAGTTCCATTCTCTTCCTCAGCACCAGGCTCCCACCCATGCTCCCCTTCCCTTGTCCCCTGTCCATCCCCTATTCCTCTCCTACCCCAGACACTCCCTTGTGTTCTTAGACTCTTGGCTCCTTATGTGAAGAAGAAAGTGAACCTGGATTCTGGGTCAGAAGGTGAGACAATGACTCAATGTTTGAGTCACATTTGGGAAGCCAATCATATATATTCAGGCTAAGGAAGGGGATCAATACAGACTACCATGTGTCCATGAGAGTGAAGACCCCACAGCAAGAGCCTGTCACCCTCAGGGCGTCCCCAGTAGTTTCCTGCCTCAGCTCCGAGGAGGACAGAGCAGTTAAAGATGACCCTGCAAGTTTCCTGATTCTAAGGCAACAATTTTCCCTTCCTGTGGCAGTCATGTCTGTCTCCTCTCTGAGCCACTCACTCTGGTCCTGGGTTAGGAAGTGTCTGACCTCCAGGAGTGGAGCTGGGGGGACAGCTGCAGCCTACCTCCTCACCCTCCTCGATGTGATAGTCCTTCCTGGTGTTGGGGCCTCCGACGAACATGATTTTGAGTTGCTCCTGGTGCCTGTAATAGAGGGGCAAGAACAGGTCCTGGGTCAGCTCCTGTGAGTGAGGGAGGAGATCAGGGCCCTGTGGGCACAGGAGGGGGCCTGGAGCATCTGGGAGAAGAATAGGTCTCCCTTTATTGCTAACACTCCCAACTTGTTCCTCATAGATTTAAGTGTTTGTGTGTGTGATTGTGTTCCCATGTCCTATGACCAACAAAGGAGCAGTGTGGCAGTGAGTCTGTCACTCCTCGTGGCTCCGGACCATGCTCAAGAGCTCAATGACAGAGAGCAAAGGGGAACCCCCAGTCTGGCTGCTTATGAGACTCTCCACCACTGTAGACCCTACTCAGGAGACTCAGGAAATGGTGACATCTAACAGGGAGCAGACAAGTGTGTGACATGAATTAAAAAACACAGGCACTGGAACCATCCTCCTAGGATCAAATTTAGGCATGTTACTTGACTTTACTGGGCCACAGTTTCCTCATCTGTAAATGGAGAGGCAGCTCTAAATTAGTTTCATAGATCATTTATTTATTTATTTATTTATTTGTTTATTTATTTACTTACTTAGACAGGGTATCATATAGCCTCACTTGGCCATGAGTTCACTATATACCTGAGGATAACTTTCAACTGTGATCCTCTTTCCTCTACCCGAAAGAAACAGATTACAGGCCTGTACTCAGTAATCGCATTTAGCAATGCACTAAGTGATTCTGAGCTTAGTAAACTGAAAGCTGGATAGGGCATGGAGAGGTGGAGAGAAGATTTGAAGCATTTGAGGAAGTAGGAGCGGGAAAGCTGGGCACAGGCGCCTCAAGACCAGCAGCATTAGAGAGTCCTGGATCAGGAAGTAGGTAGGCAAGGGGCTATATCTTGGCCTGAAGAGCACCAGGGAACCATAGATGTTTTCATTTTGCAGTGCTAAGCATCAATCCTAGGACCCTGCACATGTTAAACGTGTACTCTACCACTTAAGCTACATCTCTAGCTTTTTGTTTAGTTTTGTTTGGGGTTTTTAGACACAGTCTCACTACATAGCCCTGGCTATCCTTGAAGGTGTGACTCTTCTGCTTCAACTACTTGGAATTACAAATGTTTACTACCAGGTTGGCCCAGCCTTTTTTTTTTTTTTTAAACACATTTAATTTGTGTGTGTATGTTTCAGTGTGTGTGCGTGTGTGCATGCTATGGTGGACATGTGGAGGTCAGAGGACAACTTGTAGGAGTTGTTTCTCTCTTTCAACCATGTGAGTCGCAGAGATCAAACTCAGGTTGTCGGGCTCAGCAGTAAGTGCCTTTACTCACTGAACCATCTCCTCGGCTTCCATTATTTGTCATCAGTTTAACTGAGATATAATTTGAGCACATACAGAAAGTTCTTGTACAAGCCCATATGAGAACTTTCCCCACCAGTCAGAATGCATTTCCTGTGCTCAGAGCCCTCCAGTAGATTCTCAGATCTCTGAGGATGTTATAGGTGGAATCCCTCACTGCTATAAACTCTTATGTTGGAGTGCTAACCCCCAAGATCTCAGATCGTGACCTTACTTGGAAACAGAGTCATTGCAGGTGTAATAAGTTACAAAATGGGAGTGAGTAGGCTTGCCCATCACACAGCCAGGGCACTGAGAGCTGGGTATGAATCTGGAAGTCTAGCCTCAGAACTTGCTTCTCTACCTGTGCTGTATGACATGTGGTAGAGGGTAATCTTCACCAGATACAAGGTAGACAGTGCCTTGGGAAGACAGGATCTCTGATCAGTTCCTTCTGATTTTCTCAGTGCAGTATGACTGAGGTTTTATGAATGGGGGAATTTGGATACGGAGACACACAGGGTAAAGAGGGGTTGTAAGCTGAAGGCAGAGACTGGGTTGGCAGAGACTGGGTTGGTACAGAAGTCAAGGAACACCACTGATGCCAGTAAAATACTCAGATTCTCTCATCAGTTTTTGCAAACTCATGGGCATGAAGACTGAGTCCTCCCGCTGAGGGGAACCACTCCACATGCTTGTTTATATTGACTGGTACCTCGTTCCAACAGAATCTCAGCTCCACAAGGAAGAAGGCATTTTGTCCATTTGCTTCCTGTGGTATCCCCAATGTCCAGAGCAGCCTAGAGCTCAGCAAATAACTGCTGAATGAAAAAGGGAGGACACATGTTTGCAGTGATGAATATTTCGAGTGCTGGAAGGCAGGGTTAGAGCAGGACAGTCACTACTGACCAGCCTGGAGGTGACCAAGGTGGAACCAGAGAAACGGCCATTGGCTGGCAAGGATGAGGATTTGGAGGAGTGAGAATGAGAGACAGGGGTGAAGTGGAGGAAAGAGGTAAAGATGGTAAAGCCTCAAACTTGGGGAGATGATAGTGGTAGAAGAAAGAAGGCTTTGAGCGATGTTGACCATTAGCCATGGTGGTATTGGCCAGTGACCAAGACTCTGCATGGACTTTGTAGTCAAACTGTTCCTGGCCTTGTAGTAGACTCTATCTCTCACTAACTGTGATGTTGGGAGAGTTACTTATTAAACCCTACTCTATTGGGGCTACTGTGAGAATTCAGTGAGATGATCTGAAAATACTTGGCCTAGTCTGCCTATCAGAGGGTCAGTGACTGCAGCTGTCAGGGTTCAGCACTACCTATTGGAAATGACTCTTAACAGACACATAAACATGAGGACTGTGGTTCCTGAAGGAAAGGGTGGCTTAGAAAACCCAGGCATGGACCTCAGGTGACCACAAGGGAAGGCTGAGATGAAAAACGGCAGTGGACAGGTCAGCCTTTGTGGTGCTATAGAGGTAGCCTTGGAGGTCTTGGTGTCTGTGTGTGTGGTCTTGAGCCATAATTCAAGAATTCCCATGTAGCTCAGTTTGATGAATACTTGCCTAGCAAGCACAAAGCCCTGAGTTCCATCCCCAGCACCTCATAAACCATATACAGGTAATGGTGAGACACACTTGTAATCCTAGTACTTGGGAAGTGAAGGCAGGAAGATTGAAAGTTCAAGCTCAACCTCTGCTACATAGGAAGTTGGAGGCCAGCCTGGGCTACATGAGATGCCGTCATAAACAAACAACACTCCAAAGAAGTTGATCCTCTGGCTTCATGGCCAGGGTTGGGGTGTACGGATCAGCTGTCCCCAAATCCTAGGTTCTATTGAAAGTTTGATGTGTCAAAAACCATGTTCCCCAAACATCTGAGTTTTCCCCAAGTGTACCGCGCTGTTTCCAGCCCTGGAAGGAAGGTCTGGGCCTGCTACCTCATCTCTCACAGTCTCACAGCCACTCCAGTCATCCTCAGACATCAAGGCTATAGTTCTCACTGAAGCCAACAAAAAGAGGAACAGACCTAAAAGAACCAGTCCTTAATCTCCCCTGAAAGCCCCATGAGGTCATAAGATGATTCCCCTTCAACACGCTTCTTGGTTGGCGGAACTCAGGGCTGGAGAGAGAGAGGGTATTTGGGGGAGGAGGGAAGAGGGAGTAAAGAGAAGAGAGGGGAAAAGGTGTGGGAAGAGAAGGTGGGGCGACATAGGAGCGCCTGGGAACTCACATAAGTTTGTTGCACACCGGGGGCTGGAAGGAGGCCCGGTTCTCCTCCACCCAAGTCCTGACTCTCACGCGGCGCTCCATGGTGAGCAGGCGGGACTCTTCTGCCCACAGCGAGTCTCCTGGCGGCGGGGCAATCGGAGGCAGTCGGCTCTGCCCAGCCTCCCGTGGGCCACCTCTGTAGTCAGCACCCCGGAGGTCAAAGAGCGGAACAAGCCCCTGTCACCCCGCAGGGCGGCGCTTGGGTCCCCGCCCGCCTGCGCCGGGCTCACTGGATCCGCTAGGGCCTCCGGGCCTCTCCTGACCTGCCAGCATCCTCGCGGAGCCTGGCACGCCCGAGTCAGAGGCGGGATCCTGCTACCTGCCCAGCAAGATGCAGGATCCAGGCTTTCGGTTTGGGCCCCAGGGAATCCCTAGGGAGACCCTCGCCCCCAAAGAAATGCTGTAATGGAGAGTACGGAGCCTTGGGAATCTGGAGGTTTGAGCACAGATGGCTGCAGTGAGCGCACAGGATGGTCCCGGGAGATTAACGCCAGGACCCTGTGCCCTCCAGAGGGCTGAGGTCAGGCCCAGGTCCCAGGTGTTTTACTGTGTAGTACTGTGTGTGCTACCGGGCTTTGGGAGGAGAGCTAGGCTGCACAAGTCCTACGGCAAGTAGGGACCAGGGGCCCAAGCTGACCCCACCTCAGTACCACCACTCACCACTGGTAGTGGGCAGCGTGAGCTTCCACCATCACTGAGAATCGGAGCCTCCAGCATGCTAGACAAGGGCTCTACCACTGACCTATACTACACTCTAGCCTCTTGCTGAATCTTGTTTAGTTTTGTTGTTTGGATTTTAAAAAACAAAAACAAAAAACAGGGACTCACTTTGTAACCCAGGGTGTCCAGCAACTCTCGGTATAGCCCAGGCTGGCCTCGAACTCTCTACCCTTCTGCCTCCGTGCAGGGATTACAGGTGGGTGCCACCACAACCCCTACCTTTGTGTGTCTTAAACGACACATGAGAAATTTTATAGGTGAAGATGGCCCTGGTGTCCTAGTCTCTCAGACAAATCTTTGCTAAAGGTTTCAGGCTTTTGAGAGGTTCCTCAGTCAAGTTTGTTCTGGAGCAGGAGACATAGTTCTGGGTGTGTGAATGTGGAGGAGGGTGAGGGCAAGGGCCACACCTGCCTTTCCTCTCTGGCTAGGACTTAGATTTCTTGGGAAAATTAGAGGGTGAAATATGGAAGTGTACAGGAGGGAGAAGGAAAATGTCTCATATCTCTGACTCCAGGCCGCAGACTGTAAGAAATCTAGTTTCCAGCCTCAGCAGCCCTCACCCTGCCCCTCCTTGCAGGTGGCATGGGCAGCTTCCCTGTTTCTCAGACCTAAAGGCTCTCCTGGTGTAAATCAAAACCCAGACAGATAAGCAGCAGGAGTCTCGCCCACCTGGCTGGGTCTTCCTTGCTTCCTCTCCACCACTCCTCCCCCTTTCAACCACTTTTATCATTTCAGTTATTTATTTAGCACATTTTAGCTGAACATTTCCATCTAGAATCTTGTCTGGTACCTAAATAATTCAAACCACCTTCTTTATGTTTCTCATCTGCGAATAATCAGAGGGGATGCAAACAAAGACACAGGAAACAGCAAGGATCTAGATTTGCTTTGGTTGTTGCTAAACAGAGAGATGGATAAATGGGTGGGTGGATGAAGGCCTGAATTCACAATAAAACAGGGGAACCCCACTTTCAAACCGGCAGATGTTCTGTTAAATGCTACAAAGGAAAATGTGATAATTACCTTGCGTTTGAGTTGTTATAAACAAATAATGTGAATAACTGAGGCTGTAAGTAGAATTTAGGGATATGAATTCTCCAGATTCATCTGACACACAGGCTAAGCTACTGCTGTATAATCACTGTCAGATTTGCTCTCTTGTTTGGGCTGTGTAGATAGAAAATCATTCTAGTCTACCATGGGCAAACCTCCTATTTTGGATTGCTTCAGTGTCTAAAAAACAGGTTGGGTTCCAAGAACACACAGGATGGCTCTCAATCATCTATTACTCTGGCTCCAGGGGATTCAACACCCTCTTCTGGCCTCCAAAGGCACTGTATGCACATGGTACACATACATGTATGCAGGCAAAGCATACACATAAAAAGTAAATAAATCTCTTTATTTTAAAAAATTTTTATTGAGCTCTTGTACATTTTATACAACAGTTCTTAATAAAATTTAGATCCCCCTCCTCCATCCATATCCCTGCACCACCCCCCAGTGGACCTAATGCATTCTGCCATACATGTTAAGTCCTATCCAGTCAAGCATTTGTATCCAGATGTCCTTCAGTGCAGGTTCATCCACTGGAGTCTAGTCAGCCTATCTAAAGATCATAAAATGGTTATTCTCCCTCATCCAGGAGCAATCAGTCTCTAACAGTTCCCAGGCTAAGGCCAGCCTGCTGGCCATTTCCTTCTCTCCACTCTGGGCCCTTGTCTGAGTTGGCATGGGTCTTGTGCTCGAGGCCACCATTGATGAAAGTTCATATGTGCAAGCTTCCAGTGACCTCAAAGCCTCTGGACCAACCCTGGCTCTAACAATCTTTCCATCTACTCTTCCACAATGGTTCCTGGGCTGTGAGTGGGTGAAGTTTAATATAGGAGTCGTATTCAGGGACACACACTCTACAGTCTCTTAGTCTCTAAAACTTGGCCAGTTGTGGCCTTCTGTGTACATTGCACTTTGTTGTATAAGGAAACTTTGCTGATGAGACTTGAGTGATCCACTAGTATTCTCTATACTCCCTGTTCTGCTGTGTTCCATGAGCCTTAGGTGTAGAGGTTCCACTGTAGATATGTCACTTAGGACTGGGCAGGGGGAGAGAGAGGAGAGATGAGTGGAGCTTGGGGGGCTAGGGAATCCCCTAATAAATGTACATACAGTGTCTGAACATTAGTGCATGTGTATACCTGGGGGATGTATGGCAAGGAGCACAGTGCCAGACAGGAGAGACCGCCCTTCAAGTAGTTGGTCAGTAGTCCAAGAAACTCACAAAATAACACAGGCTATTGCCACAGCTCTTGGTTATCTCCCAGAACTTGACGATAAGGCCCTACTGCTGAAGACAGGACATGCTTCAGACATAGGACTTGAAGCAATGGGGCAGGAACTGACTCAGGGCCTTCCTTCAGAGGCCTTCTCCCTGAAGACTAGCTCTCATAGTTCTAGAAGATACTATGCAAGCTGCTAAGGAAGAAAATCAACCAATGGTCCAACCCAGTGCTAAAACCTAATAACCATAACGACTTGCACAGCAAACTACCTCTATTGATGTAGCAGTGGCACTGTTATTGGGGGCGGGTAATCAATAGCTATCTAATTAGACTTAAAGTCTTCTCAATGGGAGTGAATTCATGGGTGGCACTGTAAACTCAGTCAAATACACATGACTAGAGAGATTGTTTTAGTTTGTTTCTTCATTGTTGTGACAAAACACTCTGACCACTACCAACTTGGGGAAGAAAGGGTTTATTCAGCTTACGTCTCCCAGGTCGCAGTTCATCAGGGAGCCCAAGGTAGGAACTCAGAGCAGGAACCTGGAAGCAGGAGCTGGAGCACAGGCCATGGAGGAATGCTGCTTATACTGGCCTGCTCCACTGGCCCCTGCTCAGCATGCTTTCTTATACAACACAGGCCCACCTGCCCAGGGGTGGCACAACTCACAGTGGGCTGGGCCCTCCCACATCACTCATCAAGAAGATACCCTTCAGACATGGCCACAGGCCAGTCTAATAGAGGCAATTCACCAATTGAGGCTCCCTCAACCCAGGTGTGTCACCCAGGTGTGACACTAAAGCTATCCAGCACAGAGGTCACAGATCCTAGAGAAAATCCTGTCTGTCATATCTCTAGACAAAATTTCTTACCATATGGGTTTTTATAGACAAGTATACAATACACCACTCATCAAAGAAGCTTCTTTTTGCAACAGATGGAGGCTACTGCAGAGTTCCGCAACTGTTCACACACAGAGAAACCTCTTTTTATTTGTTTGCTTGGGTTTTTGTTGTTGTTGTTGTTTGGTTTCGTTTTGGTTTTTTGTTTTGTTTTGTTTTTAGTCTTTTTGATAAAGGGTCTCCCTGTAGACCCAGCTGGCCTGGAACTCACTATGTAGACCAGGCTGGCCTTGAACTCACAGAGATCCACCTGCCTCTGCCTCCTGAATGCTGGGATTAAAGGCACAGAAATCTCTTTTTTAAAAGAGGAGGGTCAACACGGAGGAATCATTTCCTCCATGCTTCCAAGAGGAGCCAACAATGGTCGAGCAGGACCTTTGACTTATCCTCACATGGATGGAGCTGGTAAAAGAAAGGAGCCAGGGGCTCCTCCCAACCCCATGGGACTCCTGAGGAACAAATCCTCTAACGACCTCAAGAGTAAAAACAAATCAGTTTATCTGGTCCAATTGTATGTCCTTAAACACCCAAAAGGGAAGTATAACCAAAGATTAAAGGGGCCAACATAATATCATAAGAGCATACATATACATAACTAAAAGTTACTCGACAAACAACAAAGCCAGACAGGCGATACCTTCAGTCAAGTTGTTGACTAGGATAGATAAAGGCTCTTCCAGAAAGTAACCCAACATACTACTGGAAAAATGAACAGCAGACCCCAATTCTATCCAAAGGAATACTGACAATGGATTGCAGTAGATGAGGAACAGCTGACCCTCCTGGAACAAGGACCTCTGGCTGACTAGATTTACCAGAAGGGCAGACAGGGATGAGGGTGCTGACAACACAGTGGACAGTGACAGGGATGGCAGAGTATGGAGCCTCTAGTGGGAGAGGAAGGCTGTCTATCTGACGAGTTAGTATTCATGCTCAGATGCCGAGGAGCTCAGAAGGTGGGCGACTGTGACCAGTGACAGTCATGCATATAGAGATTAGAAATGCATGTGAAAACGTCTCAATGTCAATTGCTTTGGAATGAATTCTTCTGTATGAAAAAAAAAA